TATTTGCTATAACAGATATTTATCTAGTTAATCTCTACCTTTATTATTATATTCTCAATTTATAAAATTATTATTTATCTATATTAATAATATTAGATATATAGTTAACAAATACTTATACAAGTCAATTATTTTTATTAAGCAAACAAACTCTTTTCAACGATCTTCTGGACAATAATAACAAAAAACTAAACTACAGAAAAATGATATAGAAATGTTCTAGACAGATACTTCTTAGTTCTACTTTAAAGTAAAGCAGTTGTTAATGAAGTCTAAAGACGTGAAACACTGAGGAGTGGATATACTTTAGACGATTTTTCTTAGAATCAACCCTTTCTGCTTTTGTGTAAACTTCTTAAATTATTCAGCATCCAAACTAGAAGAATATTCTGAAAACTGTTTTTATCTTTGTATAGGTTGTTGTTGACAAAGTTCAAGAGATATAATATACTGAGGAGCAGGCGTAACTTAGACAGTTTTTCTTGAGGTCAAGTTTTTGCTATATCAACAGACTCTTTAAGTTATTCAGCATCCAAACCAGAAGGTCTATTCTGGAAACAAATAGTAGTCAAAAGACTCTCACTGAGATAGTTGAAGCTTGAAGAATTACCTATATAACTATAAACTTACAGAAAAACCTCATATACTTTCATTGTTCCTCCACTTTTTTTCAGAGAAAATTTTGTAAAAAAGTAGGTAATTTAGCTTACCTCTTTAAAAGATTGATATATTGTTTAGTTATTAAATTGGTTGCATTATTTACATTTTTACTTGTTATAACAAACACATGAATATATATAGAACTGGACATGTAGATTATATGCTTCAAATGTAGCAACCTAGACAAACAATAACTCGAGATCTTCGGTACAAATTTCTAACCTTTCTGACCTCTCTATAGTATTGACATCAAAGATGCTATTTTTTTAGTCTGTCGCAGAGTTTTTTTTCTTATCTTAGATATACTATATATAGATTAGAGTAGAGACTAGTTTAAATAGTAGTATATAATTTTTATAGAGCCTGATACAGGCTTATAATTGTAATCGTCCAGTGTAAGTGAAAAATCTTATATTTAGTTTAGTTTTTTTATTTTTCCCTTACCCTATTTATTTCTTGTTTGTATTTTTTTAATGTATTCCCTATACCTCTATATTTCTTTAAAAATTTTTTTCTTTTTCTTTCACTTTATTACAAGAAGATGTCATCAGATTGGCAATATTCTATTGTAGGATGGTAGTCAGACGAGCCCTCCAGTTAAGATATTATTTTATATCTCACTATTGCGGCAAGTCACCTATGAGCGCTTGATTAAGCAGTAGCTGTAAGATGTCAGAACTGTAGTTTTATTATTTTAAATCTTCTATAAGATGTTGACTTAAATAAACATAGATCACTGGCATGATCTTGTTTAAGTAAAAAAAAAAATTTTTATTAAGAAAAATCATAGTAAAGTATATATATCTTCTTAGTGAACTTGAAACACTTAAAAACTATATTATTCTACAAATAAACTAATATACAAAATTCTCTTAAATATTATTAAGATCTTACTCTAAGTATATAATACCTAATACATTATCAGACCTCTTTTTATCAACTCTATCATTAACATCTGAACCTCTTATAATAGAAGTATATACTACTATTTCTTTTAATATAAACTATTAACAAATCTAACACACATCACTTAATAGTTTACAAGATCTTATATTCAATCTAAATATTGCAACATACTGTATAATATATAAAGATACCATATATTGCTGAAAATAAGCTACTTTTTTTTGGAAAAATTATATAAAAATATTACAGATAGTTTATTATTAGGTAAAAGCAGTATTTCATCATTTACAAAAACTTTTACTAAATAAATTGACTTATCTTATTAAATAAAAATTGTTCAAGAGATCAAAATGCATATATTCTAAAAATTTTATATAAATTAGAAAATATTTTATTAATTGACTTTTAAATTTTACACTTAATGAATATAAATTTTAAAGAAATTTTTAAATTTTCATTGAATATAATATGCAAAAGTCAATTAATAAAATGTTCTCTGATTTATATGAAATATTCAGAATATATGCATTTTGATCTTCTGAATAACTGTCACTTAATAAGGTAGGTCGATTTACTTAGTAAAATTATGACTTTACTATGTAGCAACAATATCATTTATAAGAGTAGCTTCTTTCAGATAAAAGACATTTTTTACTTTTTTTGTTTAAAAAAAAAGTAGCTTATTTTCAGTATAGCTTATTTTCAGAAATATACAGTATATTATGTAGAAAAAAGACTATTATAAGAAGATTATTACTTAACTAATAATCTATATATTGTTAATCTAACAAAAACCAAAATTGCTAATAGTATATCTATAAAATTTTTTAATATCCAATAATATAGTCTAATTTACTAATCATTAAAGAAGGAATATATATAATACTTTGCAATTATATTTAACCTTATATACACAAAATATTTATTTATCCAGATAAAGCAATTGCTATCGATTTATTCTTTAAATATAACTACAAACTCGGAATTATTTTCTGTATATTTATTATTAACCAATACTATTATATGAAAATTTATACAAGATACAACTATTACCTGGATACAACAGGCATTATCTAATAATTTACAACCTATTATTTTGGAAGACTTTAATGCTAATAATAACACTACTATATTATCTACAGTTAAATTTCAACTTCTTAACTATCTATATCCAATATGTATGGTCTAGCAAATCATACAAATAATCTACAAAACATCTAGCATAGTACTAGATTTTAAAATAGAATTAACTATATTTGGACAAATAACATTCTTTTACTCTATCTACAGTATATATTGTTAAAATCAATAACTTACTATCTTCAATCTATAATAATTATCAAATCCTAATAACTAACTAGATATTTTCTTTGCACTAGCTAAAACTAACTATAAGTTTAAATATAAATGCAGAATATACAAATATAAACAAATAACTAAGAAACAATAAGAAAGCTTTACTAACTAAGTTAACCTTAATATAATTTGATATAATATACACCTTTTTATTATTACAACTGAAAGTCTCAAAAAAACTTGGTATAAAATTTATATTTGTATTATTTAAGCAGCAATACAACATATTTTCAACAAGAAATACATAATTTAATATCTATTTTATATCTTTACATTTAAAGCAACACAACTTCATAAGGATCTTAAAACTATTGAATATATTATGTATTATACTAAAAAGCTTTTTTCTTATAATATCTGTTTATCCAACAATATCTTTAACTTAATTGACTACATCAACACTATTTATAGCTTTTCTATTAACTACCTATCTACCCAACAAGCAGAACTAACAACATGGCTTTAATATACTAAAATATATTGGAAAATACTCTATAATGCTAAATCTCAAAAATGCTTAACATTTGCAAAAATATATAAACAAAGCTATTGACAAAAGATGTGATCAACTTCTATTTTAATTAACTTAATAATTAATAGTATTTTTAACAGATACAAAGAGGCTATATACTTTTAGAATATTAAAACAAATAGTAATATCATTATTAATTTAACAGATATTAAATAATATATTACAAATTATTTTAAAGAATAGACAGAATCTATCCTCTCTATAAACTCTTTATAGTATAATTTTATATTTAAAGAGATCAATATAGAAAAAGTATTACAAATTATACAACAAATACCTAATAACAAGGCCTGTAGGCTATTTGAAATTAGTTACAAAATGATTAAATATACAGGTCTCAGTATATTACTTGCAATTGCTGTTTCACTCAACTAATGTCTCACTATATATAATATACTCAAATAATAAAAAAATAGTAAAATTTACTCATATTTAAAAAACCTCAATTTGATGGTGATCTTAACAATATCTATTCTATTAGTCTTATTAAATATATCAAAAAACTATATATCAAAATTTTTATTAACTGACTAACTACAGTCTTTACTATATACACCTTATAACTATATTGTACTTTCTGATAACTTTACCAATAACTTAATTCATATACTTAACAATTTCTTAGAAGATGCTAAATGTACAAAAAAATAGATCTAAATTCTATTACAAAATATGAGTAAGACCTATAATTCAGTCAATATAAACCTCTTTAATAAAGCTTTATAATGCTTAAATATACCTATTCAACTTATACAAATTATTATCAATCTTTTACAAAACTATATTAATCAAGTTATTACTAACTATAGATTAATACCTCAATATAATATACAAGATAGAATCAATTAAGAAGAGATAATAATATTTTTCCTTTGGCATATTTACTATGATTCTCTTATTACTTGTATTAATAAAATATATATTAAATATATATTTATAGTCAAATGGATTATTTAACTTAATTTTACTAAATATCAAAATATATCAATCTCTATCAGTCAGCCAATATGTCATACGAAATTGATCTACTATTGAATTTCTAAAAAAATTTTAATTATATAATAATTAGTTTTTTTGATAATTATTTAATTTTGCTAGTATGTATATATATTTTATAAAACAAGCTTGTTCTATATGTTTTACGCTACAAGCTAATAGTTTATTTAACTCTATTTGAGCGGTAATTTCTTAAATAACTAGTATTTTAACAAGCAGTAAATATTTTCAACTCTTTTCCAAGATTATTTTCGAATATGTATAGAAAGTGAACAAAACGTGGTTGAAAAAGTCGGGATAAGCATGGGCTTCAAGAAAATATATATTTTATTAAGTACCATTTCACAGGTACAGGAGAAAGTAGCATGTAAAAAAAATCATATATAAAAGTAAGATTCCACGAAACTTTATTTCAAATAAGTATGTATAAAATAAACTGATAATCTATAAAATTCACTTTTTTTTTATAGATAGTATCGAGAATTTCAATGATAACAAATTTATTTTTATGAAGTATTTCTTTAAACCTACTGCAGCTTATACTATAATTCTATTTAGCATCCTGTTTTCGTTTTTTACTTTGAGCAACCTTTTTTCCAAGAAGTAAAGGTATTACATTCTTTTTCATTCGTCCTTTTGCAATGCGTTTTTCTGTTTTTAAAATATCTTGTCTAATAATTTTTGAGATTCTTTCTCTTCCTTCATCATAACAAGTAAAAATGTTCTCATATCCACTAGGCGTTAGCTGATTAGAAATTTCAAAGAGTGGATGCTTTTCAGGTTCATCACAAGAAACAGCTTCAAAAAGTGTATCTACTAGTCTCCATAATGCTTCTTTGCAATCAATTTCTGCACGTATAGTTTTACTTATGCAATTATCAGTTACAAATTCTGTATATAATGCCATCAATCGATCTCTTTCATCTTGTACTGCCTTAATTATCAGTTTTAAGTTGTCAGGATCAGTCGGACATCCAGTCATATTTTGTTTGACGAATTTTACTCCAAAATACTCAAGTGCTTCGTCAATTGCAAGAAAATGTTCATCTGCTGTAAGATTTATTGATTCAACTGCTCAAAGTTTTGCTTTCAATGCTGGGTCTTTTTTCACAGTCATTAAAAAACGTGGTACTGATTCCGCATATCTATTTTTTCCAGTAGCAGGAAACAAAGGCGCAAAGGCTTTCAAGCTATCATGTTGAGCTTCGAAATTACCCATCCGGATACCAATTTTATGAAGCTTTAGCAAGCTTGCCCACCAATAATATAGAATCCAGACTTTAAGAACATTATTATTTCCGTTCTCAATATCTGTTAGTGTTACGCTATGCTTGTGCATATATATATGGATAACAATTGCTATAGCCGCCCAGATAAGCTCAAGAACACGAAATGTTGCATGCTAATCAGCAACATCCTGAAGCTTATCCAGAAATTTCGTGCCAAGTTTAGATGCTAATCCGAATAACCCATATCCGGAAAATGCAGAAATTAGAGTACTGCACATATCCTTGCTCGTATGCCACTGACCGAGAATAGGATTTAATTTTAGTTGATCATTAGAATAATCCTTAAGTCGACAAAAAATAGCTTCATCATATACAATGTCCAAAGAATCTCCTTGAATTAACCCTAAATCTTTTATATACATTTCGCAAGTTTTGTGTGCTGCGTGATTGCTGTTTGGTTCTGGTCCAGCCTCTAAAATAACGATATTTGGTTGAGGAACTTTGCATCCCCCTTCCACTACTCCTTTAAGTACAACATTTATTTCATTCATAGCAAATTCTCTTGGGCATTCTGTTATCAACTGTTTGAAAATTTGTGTAAGATTTTCCATCCACTGTTCAGTGAATGAGTTTCTTCCACACAAACCTTCGTCGAGAGTACTTGAAATCGAAGGTGTTATGTTTAAATTAGGCATTTCAAACTGAAAAACCATGTGCAAGGTAGCATGAGCTGTATCTTGTATAGCATCAAACAGGTTACCAGCTCTGAATGTTTTTTCTTTAAAATCGATATTGTCTATCACTGCCAGGTTCCAAATATTTGGTCCTGACTTTAGTCTTTTTTGTGCATCTGCCTTTAACATACGTTTTTTTCGAATTTTTACTTCATAATCTTTAGAGTATGTTATGACATTTGCTGCTCGAAGAATAGCACGTAAATATGATGCAAGTTTTGGCCGTTCACAAAAGATCCAATTATTTGTGGAAGCCAAAATTTTCAACTCTTGAATGCAAGCGTTAGAATGATGAAAGACAAAAAAGCTGAGTTTTTCACTGTTTCATTTTCATCAAATTCGGATACTACACTTTTGCGCTCTTTTTGTTTTTGTTTGACAATTTCATGCTTTTGGATTTGCAAAGTACGAACTAAGCCATCAAAGAAACTAGTTAAACATTTAGGAATTGTTTCATAATACTGTTGTAGAGATTCAGGGTTTTCTAATGTTGATCTATAAAAAGATAAGGTGGCGCGTGAATTTAAAACATCAAGGGCAAGTGATTCTCCAAATTCTTTACATTTCTTAGGGTTTAGTGTGAATTGTTTTATTTGTTTATAAAAATTTAACCCTTTAACTTTTAAAGCTGTATTAACTACAAATAGGCTAGGTAGCCTATTTGTTTGTGCGGATGGTGAATCAAAATCAAGATTTCTTAAACATGGAAAAAGAGCTTGAAGTAAATGCTCTTTAGTACCGTCATTTTCTGATTGTGCTACCATTTCAATTAACCTTGCAAAGTGATAAAGGGCTGTTGTTGTGTCATCAGAATGCTCTGCAGTACATCCCGGATCTTCCCTACATCCAGAACCTTGATGTATATGCAAATGCCCCCATTCTTTTCATAACACTGGCAGCACACATAACGAACACTTCGTGAATTGTTTGTATTTTCTGTATTCGAGCTTTTTTTAATAGCTGGACAAAGAACCATTCCACGGCAAGGTACTTGTAACTTTTGATTAAATACAATCCATGTATGCTCTATACAACTTGCTCCGCGACTAAAGAAAACCTTTTTTTTATTGCAGAAAAAACAAATGCGACAATTGAATTGGCTTCTGTCAGTTGAACGTTCCTCTTTCAACTTTTTACTATACACTGTATTTTGATCGTAATTAAAGTGTTTCGAACATACTCCAAGAAGATGAAGTTCATTATTAACTTCATTAACAGCATCCATGTCAATTTTCCAGACACCAATGAGTTCTCGCAACCTCTTATTACTAGTTTCATTACAGCGACGTATCTTTCCATGTTCATTATCGATTATAACGTACGGTGTAGTTGGCTTTGCTTTAATCTCAGGAATCTCTTCAGTATATTCACTGCCAGTTTCTTCATAGCTTGTCTCCTACAAAATTGTTATATCCTCCGCATCAAGCTCTTTCCATGGGTCATCTTCATATTCAGCTAAGTCTACGGCTTTTTCATATAAGTTTTGTTCAAAATCGAATACTGGCTCATAATCATATTCATTTTCATCATCAGATAAAACCAGTGTCTGAATGTCTACTAAATGCTCTTGTAATTCATTCTGATCGAATTGGGAAGAAAAAACTTCTTGCAAATTCTGTAAGGAATTATAACTCATTTTTTCAATAATAAAAGTAAGAAGATCAAGTAAGAAAATTTTTAAAACGCTTTTTTTTGATTTTTATTCGATAATGTTTAATAAACAAAACGGGTCAAATACGGGGCTTTTATTGATTTCAGACAAATTTTTTAAACTAGCAGAAAGAATTTAGGTTACTAATTATAGCTTCGTTGTGAATCACGGCCGGTGTTCAAAGATCATAAATATCTTGAACAAAGTTAGTTCGGATCATAGAAGATTAACTGTTAATCTCGATTGTGGTAAGTTCAAGCGATTTTTAAAAAGAATGTAAATTGTTCAATGCCATTATTGAATTGTGAAACATTTTATTGCCCATTGTTTTATATTGATATTAAAGTTATTAAAAAGTTAAACTTTTATGTATTGTGTAAAATAATTTTATTTAATGTTTAATAATAAAA